TTAAACAGATTATGCGATGTCAGTCGCCCATTTTGACTTGGATGTTACAACTGCTTTTCATTATACGGAACGTTGTTCACTGAACTAGGATCAGCATCGGGGAAAAAGGATGTAAATCCAAATTCGGCCCCGATTTTAAGCTAGCGTAGGATATTCTGTAATGCATGAGCTATAAATTGTTATAACATGCAAGTTTGAGATTTCCCCGTCATGCAACTGCTAAATAAATTCCTACAACTGGTATTTACGATTTACTTTTTATTTGGAATTTTCACGAATGAAGCGTGAAACGCTTTAACAATACCATCAATAGTAGATCTGAATTTCACCAGGCTTTGATACTGAGTCACAGAAATTTCATCGCTAGACTTAGTGACACCTTTGTAATTTTCTTTAGATACCACATTTCATATCTCACACCTTTTAATATTAAATTTTGAAACACCATAAAATAACCCATTGAGCAAATAACATGCAAATACAACAAGACCTCTACGACTGATATGGTTCTTAAACATTCATTCCATCTAAAATACTGTATATTTATTCAAAATTGTTTAGTAAATACATATTTCTAGATGACATCAACTATATGTCAAGTGGCAATACTAACAAGCTTTTTCAAAAATCCAGGTAGTAGCCAGCAATGGTGAAAGCTGCTCTTCACTGAAAGATTACAATTAGCAACAAACAGTTGATAAGTTATACATCTATTAATTTCAATGAACGTTGACATTGAAGTTAAAATTCTGTTCGAAATTTTAATCAGATCCATTGAAAAATTATCTCTAGCTCTGTATACTTTAAGAGCACCATTTTCAAGCTTATGTCTTATAAGCAGGATCCGATGTCTGTTAAATATGTCTCCAACCAACTGAAAACACATATATTCATTGTGAAGCGGTAACATTTACTCGTTGTCTGTAAAAGGATAAAATACCACAAATAAATTTCGAAGGTAAACGAGTTTAAATATTGTTTTCTTGAAGTAAGCGTAACTTTTGTTTTAAATGTTTAGGAAAAGCTCTATAGAGATAATCATTAGCATTTATGCAGAAGAAATAATTCCTTCCCCTTGTATAACCACTTTTCTCTGTGAACAATTATGTTAAGGCCTTAATCAAGTAAACTGCATTTCTGTGGTATACAGAAATATTAAATAGACTTATTTAATAAGTTTTACTTCCAAAGCAAGTGGTTCGTATTCGAAATTTCAAAATCGAACATTGAAGCATTCCACCGACTAAGTCTACGTAACACTTACACACAAAGATGAATTCAGCGCAAATGTCACTTATTAGAATTAATTGAATCCAGGGTTCACTCACTATTCTTTGGGCTACAACAGTAATTGTTAAATCGTAAACAGATGAGATAAAAGTACTTTTTTGGTTTATTTACTGTCATCTTATCAGCTATTAAATTGTTCGACTACATTACATTCGTGAGCCGCATAACTACCATTTTATGAATTTCCAATAGGTACGAATTCTGATGCTTAAACCTAAATGGCAGTTTACACTCAAAGGGCTTTCGCTTACCTATATAAACAAAATCCCATTTAATGAAATCTACTGGCCTAAAAGATAAAGTTTACTGATTTGGTAGAAACGGGAAATTTAAATATGATTGCGAAGATTTGTAGCTCACGTGGATGATGTTAGTGTTCTCTGAGCTGGATGGAATAGCTGGGAAGCAACATCAGCGAATGCTTCAACTTCAGGCCAAATTAAAGAATGGGCTGAAGATGTTGTCTAGAAACACAATTACAGCTTTGCAACCAAATCACTCAGCACAGAGAACACAACTATACCAATAAAGGAAAAGTTATTTTCTCATTTGGTTTATTTATTTAACTAACCAATGATGATAATTATCAAGTTAATTTGTTCATATTTCTTCAAACATACTCTATGAAAACCAAAAATGGCATCAACACACAAAATTATTATGAACAAGTAACCAAATTCCCTGTACGGTGGACAGCTCCAGAAGGAATTTTAAAGCAAGCATATTCAATAAAGTCAGATATCTGGTCATTTGGTGTACTTGTTTATGAAATTCTGACCTTCTGCGAATTACCTTATAAAGGTTAGTTATACATACCTCGCTTATTTTTTGAACGTTTTGCTAAACGCTGAAATTGTATTACAAATGTTGATATGATGTGTCAATGTATACACTAATTGCAGCAAAAAGATAGCATTCTAAGTATTAACTCAGCATTTCGTCAGACAAATGGTGGTTTAAAAATCCTTACCTCAGTGAGCTAAAACTTATAAATGATTTCTCAAATTTGTATACTTTTCTCTAGTCGCATAACGCATTTATCTAACCATAGGACAGGTAAATGCAGTTAATTCGCATTGCATTTTGAACTTACTACTTTAGAATAACTTAGTTTGATGAGAAATACAAAGAAGAACACAGGATATCTATTTTCAAATGTTCATTTTCTTTACTTTAGTATTTCATCTTTCTTTAGCATCCACACGTCAGAGGACACATTTTCTGTTATACTGTATAAGTAAATTCTAGTTAATACCCTATTAAAATCATAGCTCGACTGACTCAAATATATTCAGAAGTAAAAACATTGATCTGTAGCTCCCAGTCTATCCGCAATTTATGAAAAAACAGTGGGATGCTTCAGTATAATTATCCTTAATTTCATACAACTGGTTCCCTTGATAAATTTCGATAAAGAAAGGAAGACGAAATTTGCAGTATAAAATGATATCATTCTATTTCACAGGTTCTCATCAGCTGCAGACTACCTGAAATTACAATGGTTATATAAATGATAATAACATACTTTAATGTCTGATTAGTAGTAGAGAAGAGATAAAATTGACGCATCCAAAAAAAAAGAATGAAAGCATTACAATTTTAGTTTAAGTTATCATCATCAATTTATACACTTTCAGAGTTGAAAAGAGGGGGGAGGGGTAAGACAGAAAACAGAAAATTTGATGAACAGAAACAGTGTTAGCTTGTAGGTTCACATAGCAACTCCAAAAACAAAAGCATTTACAGTTTATAAGATTGAGATTTGCTCAGTGAGTTGAGATCACTGATGACTAATCAAAATCAAAATTCAGTTAGTCATCAGTGATCTCAACTCACTGAGCAAATCTCAATCTTATAAACTGTAAATGCTTTTGTTTTTGGAGTTGCTATGTGAACCTACAAGCTAACACTGTTTCTGTTCATCAAATTTTCTGTTTTCTGTCTTACCCCTCCCCCCTCTTTTCAACTCTGAAAGTGTATAAATTGATGATGATAACTTAAACTAAAATTGTAATGCTTTCATTCTTTTTTTTTGGATGCGTCAATTTTATCTCTTCTCTACTACTAATCAGACATTAAAGTATGTTATTATCATTTATATAACCATTGTAATTTCAGGTAGTCTGCAGCTGATGAGAACCTGTGAAATAGAATGATATCATTTTATACTGCAAATTTCGTCTTCCTTTCTTTATCGAAATATCCTTAATTTATAAGTCCATTGGTACATATTTCAGAAGTTTTATTTCTCTACTGGTGTTCATGGAAATCTGTTTCAAGCGTAACTATGGTGATAAATCAGAAAGAAATTTTTCAATTCTTCAATTCTCCACTCATCAGTTTTCATTTGCATTGCAATCAATTACTAATCAGAATTCTCGCTTCTGAATTAACTATGCAACCTTTTCTTTACAATAATAAAGATAAAATAAAAAGTAGTTTGTGGAGATTGTTCTACACTACTAAACAAAATCTGTTTTTCTATTATTTCATCAGTTTTAACCGAAAGAAAGAAGTATAATAATGACTAACTCTGCTCCTTGATTTACTTTGTTGAGAACAAGAGAAGCATCAGGTGATCTCATGTAAATCAGATAAGATATTTTTCTAATACATTTTCTTATACAAAGACACAGTCTGTCTCATTTTATCTCTAAACAGCTCCGTTTTCCAATCTGTAATGATGATTCAGTTAAAAAGATACTCTTCCACTAAATTTGAATTTCTAACGACACCTGTTTTAACCAATAAAATAAAAAAATATATGTAACAGTTGAATAATATATCACTGAGGTCATTGTACTTAGCTGGTACAGCTCTAGCTGTTAAGATTTTCAGCTGGCGGTAACTTTTATGCGTTTGTTCAGTTCAACATATATATCATTTTACAATTGAGTCGTTCAGACAAATTTCCATTAGTAAAATTGGTACTTTTCTTACTACGCATATTACTTATGACAATTTTCATAACATAAATAGGTACAAAATACCGACTCATTTTCAGTAATTCATTTAGATAATGTCAGTTTATGGTGAAGTCAGTAATGATTTGATTAAGCCACAGTCACTATAACTTCAAAACACTAATCCACTGCTTATACGTGAGTACTTTTAAGATGAATTTCGTAAAGATTTAGTGATAAATCGGAATCAGTAGAGTTCAATACATCTTGTTGTCAAGATATTTACTAAACAATGATGGTAAATGAAAAATGTTACATTCAGAGTTGACATAAGCTGAAAGACAAATGTAATCGGATTACAACCAATTGATTCAGTACCACGTAGGAAGTATGTCTCCTGCTATCTTGCCACTTCGTGAGTTTGCACTGGAAAGGCGGAAAACAATGTGAAACGACTATTCTGAGCTTCTCACTTGTTGATAATAGTCCTAGGCGATATAACTTCCGATGACACTCATCCTAGACTAATGTGAATCCAGTCGAACAAAATCCCCACAGTACTAATACCTGAAAATTAATGTGAGTCCAACAAAACCTATCTTAGGTTATCTCATTTAAAAAGTAACATTTCGTTAAATTGATTCAAGTTGCGGTTAATTTATTTTGGCAGTTTTATTTACTATTTGAGATGTCTCTTCAGCCTTTCTGATTTCTCTTCTCATTTTTGTTGATGTTATTTACACAGAGTTGAGCGCTCAGGAAGTTAGAACACGTGTCTGTTCAGGTTACAGATTACCTCGTCCAGAAATGAAAATTCCAGTAACAAAACCTTTGTTAGCTGCAGATGATCACTATGAAGTACCCAAACTCAGGAATACCAATAACTTCATGTGTCCCATAGGTTTATACAATAAAATACTTGAATGCTGGAATATTCTACCAGAAAAGAGACCTTCATTTAATTCATTACACTGTTTTATCAATGAAATGTTATCGAAAGAAACTGAAGCTAATTTTTAAATTAATATGCCGAACAGATGCTATTTTATTTTATTTTTTGGAGTCAGAGTCATAAAATAAAGTCATTTTTATGCAATATCAAAACCAGAAGAATTTTTATACTAATAATCCACTATTCTTTTCACTATTTTACGGTGAAACAGTAAAAACTTCACCCATAAAACCAACAGATAAAACTCTTTTTGTTCTTATCAATGTATCTTATTTCAGAGGGATAAATTATCATTGTGGATTAACCTTAGGTTTTGTACTTTTTAGAGGTAGCTAAAATCTACTGATCACGTTTGCAGTGTAGTCACGAAGTTCGGTAGCTGACCACTAATATGTTTTAGGTGGTTGGAGGCAGCTAACGGAAAGTTGTCCACCCAGATTTTTATGCTAGCTGGGATGCATTATCGACGCAAACCATCGTAGGAAACAATGCCTAACCAGATATTCAAACCCCACTATTCAGTGCCACAGTCAGAGAAATTGCCACCAAGCTATTCTTGAATTTGAATTCCAGATCGGTTGCAGATACTTCTTGATGACAATTGCAGATGAACACAAAACCTGCATTCAAAGCTCCCCAACGGCTGTCCCTAACAATCGGACATCATGATAAACCATTACTAGGATTCTCTAAACTTTTTAGTCAGTCATTGGTCTCTTCAAATATTAGCCTAATTGATTTCTCTGTGAATAAATCAACAATTTCTTTTGATCAATTCAATTTAGCTCGTTCTCGTAGTGCTCTTACGTTTCATCTTCTCTGAGAGAATATTCCAACGGATTTCCTTTTGAACCACTGTGAACGATGGTTAGATTATATTGTACAGTGAGCAGAATGGCTTTCATCATATTTTATTCGTAAAGCGAGATAAAATTTCGCACAAAACACCCTTTATAAGTTTAAACAGACAGCATTAATACGTGGACTAAGTAGATGATAGTACACCTTTGTGATATGATATCACACTCGTTATTAGTGACCGCTGAATAAGGTTAGTTACCATAGAACTACCACGATTTAAATTAAAATAAATTCAATAACAGGTTTTGAGACTAATCCTTTCGAATTACTAAATAACATAATGTAACCTAGACAAAAGTCAAACTTAACCTAAATTATATGTCATCAGGTCATAGAGGTGATGAAACCTTGTCAATTATGTAGAACGTTTTAAAGTTTTCTAATCAACTGTTATTATTTATGTTACTACGTTTGTGAAAGCAGTTAAACGTTGACTAGGTTTCAAGAGAAACTCCTCAAGTAAGTATTAGATTGATATTTATTCCATCAATTTTCCCAAAGTACATATCCTGTTGGTCTAAGACTCAAATTCATTTGCAATGAGTAACTCATGGTAAAAGTATTGTAGTAACTCTATGCATTTATATCACTGTCATTAACTTCATTCTTAAACTGAATTTCCGATTAAATTGCTTGATTGCACACTATCCTTTGTAACTGTATTTCTTTTGAATTCGGCGTTTCTGACAATACATTCTGTATAAACTTCACAAGTGTCTTTCGATTTTACATAGTGTATATTAACAAATCAGTATTTGAGAACACTGAGAGACTCGAAGTGTTGGATTTTATATGGATACCATCCGAATCTGGTAAAGTGCGCATCCACATCGCAATTTTAAGCTTAAGGTGTTTTTTAACTAATAAACTAATGATTTATTATCATATTACTCTTCCGCTAGATTCCAGGTAGGACATAAGGCTTCAGTAGCAAATCTTTCTTCCACTCTGTTCTTCGCTACCACTTTTAACTGATTGCACAACTACACACAAACTTTCACTTCATTTTCACATTTCACCTTACAAAATCTAACTCATTACTTACTATTTGAGTTCTACTAGACCTTTTGTCATAGTATGCCACTTGAAAGTCTCCTCTGCAAATGTCCAGTCCATCTAAATTTCCTTCTGCATGCCCGCTAACCACTTGGCTGTTGGTTACCCCGCCGACTCTCAAATTTCATTATTCATCTGATCTTCAGAATCCACGAAAGGCAGCCATTTTTGGAAGTTTACAGCAGCCTTTTGAAAATGCTTTCTATGACTCATTAAGTCTATGAAGTAAATAGAAGCACTAACTTGACATTATTGCTGAAAATCTGAATCCTGCTGTACATGATGAGTGCAGCAGATTTCAACACTGATTTCAGTTAAATTAATGTCTGTCTTACTTTTCCGACCCTGCCTTTGATATCCTCGTCCATGCTGATTGCAGTTAAAAAGATGCTTCCTAAGTAATTGAGAGAAATGTCCATCCCACGCCCCATAGACTGTTGCATGATTCAACTCATTATAGTGAAGAAAATCATTTGTGACACTAGTCAGCTGTGTCTCGCTACTGTCTCCACTTCAAGCACTTCTGTGAGCTTTTCAGTGTTAATTATTTGGCATATGACATCCTCACATAACTACTCAATGAGGTTAACAAATCTTTGTGAGACTGCACTCCGTAGTGTTGAAGCAGCTACCAAGTGACTTAATGATCGACACTGTTCAAAAGTTTTTTTAAAGTCAGAGTTGACATAGAGAGCTGACTGGCATTCTAGGCTCTGACTAGTAATGAGAAGTGTTGCTGAATATTTTACTTAGGGTGAACAAGAACATGATTCCTAACCAGTCCTTGCAGTAGCTTACGTCTCCCTTCTGTGATAACCTCACAAGATAGCTGCTCTTTCAAACCGCAGGTGACTTCCCTTCTTTTTCATACCTTCCATAATAGTTTTCAGTACTTCTGTAGGGATTTCACCTAATCCTGATGCTTTCTCGTTTGGCTTTGATTAACTTTATGGCCTTCAAGTTTCCTGTTTTGTGTGGTGCTGCGTGTTCACTGGTAGTAGTCTATTCAGTTCTTTGAAGTGACCAGCACAACGATTCCTCGACCCCCTTCTCTTTGGTTATACTGTTTCCCTCACCATCTTTCATTGGCTTTATCTGCATTAGTCTCTTCCGGATAGAAACCCGTTTGGTTAATGCAGTGTTTTGAGGCCTGCCTTACCTGCAACGTTTTCTACCCAAGTTGCCAGTATGTCATGAAAGCCTCATCCATAGTTCCTAGTACTCTTCTTAAGTACTTTGCATAGTGCATTGTAGGCTATATTCAGCTCTTCCTTTCGCGGTTCATCTCTGCATGGGTTCATCTTCTGTTTCAACATCTCTCTTTGCTCTATTAGAGTCTATGTGTCAGTAGTAAGCCACTCATCGTCTCACCTCTTTTTTTCTTTGGATGTCTACAAAGAGTTATTTCCATGTCGCTTTCACAGAGTTCCAGCATTCTCCCACAGAGGTTTCCGCTTTGATGGTCCTTAATGTTTCCGACATTTCGCTGGTCACAGCACTGAAGGCATCATTTACAGCTTCATCCTTCAACTTCTGAGTGATGATCTTGAATTGAGGTCTATTATCAGACTCTTTTAAGACTTACAATTCGATCTTGAAAGTCCCTGTACTAGGGAGTCGTTTTTGGTCATATTTGCTTCTCTTATCCACAGTAGACTGATTGCGTATCCACTTTCTTCAGATGAAACTGAGTTGTAGTTTGCATGATTTCCGACGTTTTCACCTGGCACGTCTGCGCACACTGCCTTCAATCACAAAATCACTAAGCGTTTAGTAGTGTGTTAAGGGCTCTCCATTCTTACTAGTGCCTCCTTTCATTCATTATAAATTTTCTTCTTGTATGATCTACCTTAGTTTAGTTAGCATTCATTTAACCCATTTTGAGTTCCCCATCTCTTTAGGGCATTGTCCACTACTGTTTCCAATTATCTGTGAAAGTTTTACCTCTTCTCCACCGAGTTTGCGTTGTCTGTAGAAGCTTGGTATTGTATGATTGTCATTCTCACTCCTTTCGAGTTGAATCTAGCTGTTATGGTAAATATCTCTAAGTCACTGGAGCTTAAGATGTTGACAATTTCTTAGTAGTTTCAATTCTACTAAAATAAAAAGAGCAGAGGTGCTTTAACATCACTGCAGCTGAAATTTTAGAGCTTGAAATTCTACGTTTGACTTAAATTTCAAAAGAATCAATAAATTCCTTCATCGAGGTTAAACTATTGTCTATAGGTAAGCTTACTGTTTATCACATACTGATGAAGTAATACTACTAATTCACTAGTGATAGTAATCACTTAATGTACCAAAGTGTGTTTGATGGCACGTGAATTGTTACTTGAAAATTCAGTGTCAGCGATTAAAACTCCAGCACCACATCAAAATTATTTATTTGATTATGTGAACAAAACGCAAATAATTTTAAAAAAATTAATGTCTGCATATTTCAGCACTTCCGGAGATGTGCATTCTTTCTTTTTGCAACGTAGTTAGTCCAACCTTCATTGGAAAATCCAAGCCATTCAGGAAGCATAGACTTGTTATTAAAGATTACACGCAGAAAGATATTATCTTTTATTTTTATCAGATTCAAATGTGTGATTTAGATTAAATCTACGCTTAAAATATCAGTGATACAAGTGATTCTGTGATTACCCAAGGAGAGTTGTTTATTTTGCTTAATATGTTATGAATGTCACAGAATTTCAGCCAGCCAGTCTTCGGTTGACATTTTTGGTAAGTAACATAATGGGTATATGTTTGCACGATAAGCAATCTCTGCAAATTTGGTTAGATAACACGCATTCACAAAAACTATAATCCTGAACTGTAAATGTTCAGTCTCATTCTAAAAGAATGTGTTTGAAACTGATTTATTGCCAGAGAGGCTTTTATCTCATAAACATTCTTCTTTTATTGTGAATATCACCAATATGGGACGTTGTCAGCCTACTGAACCACAGATCAAATGTTCAATGAAGTGTAGAAACATGGTGAAATTGTAGCGCATCCATTCTATTAATTCCATATGTCATAGTGTAAAAACACAAGTAAGTCTAACATCAGTGATCCAAATGTAAGTTAGCCAATACCTTACAAATGTGAACGATACCCTTAGGATGATCTCACTTCAGATTTGGTTGTTGTTGTATTGTGA